TTAAAAATAAAGTACACAAAGGAAGCTAGATCCTACGTGTGTTTTAGTCTGCTTGTTATGAGAAGCTTGATAGAAAAAAGGTAGAAAGAAAGAAAAGGAATGGATTACATTACAATTTTTAAATACATATATAAAATTAACAAATATGTAAAAAATTTTTAAAAACTTAAAAATTGCTTTCTCTATCAGCAAAACAAAATAGTGAAACAAATACAAAAAACAAACAAAGGAAGCAAGATCCTTTTTCCCCTAGAGGTGAAGCTTTGTAGCAGTTTATGATCAGTAGACTAAATCACTATGGATGAGGGGTTTGTGCTGGTCTTCTGGGGGAGGAACCTGCTACTCTGATTCTCAGGTGCAATTGCTGTAGTGGAGACGTGCCTGCAGGGAACAGGAAGGTAGTGCTTGGTGTAGTGGCTTCTGTCTGCTTGGTGGTGCTGTTTAGCTGAGATAGTTCAAGCTGGTGGATAAGGGGAAGACATTCTTTACCCTGTTCTCTCTTGGAAGCAGGAAATGCAGTCATCCCTGTTCGGTGAGCCATCAGAGACACTCAAACAGTGACCCCACCTGTGTCCCTGGTTTCCATCAGATCTCCACCTTCATCTTGTCTCTGAGCTGTCAGCCTGCCAAATGCCACAGCACTCCTGTTTTTTAACTCAGGCGTGGCTGTGTTTCAAAACCCCATGCTACAGAGACCCTTGTACAGAGACCCTTGTAGAAGACCCATACTGGTCTTCTGGGGGGAGGGTAATACTGCATTGTGGCTAGTGCCATCTTGTCATAGAAGACCGTAGAAGACCGTCACCCAACCGTGCATTTTATCAGAGTTTATGGTAAATCACAACACATAGCTGGTGCCAGGGATTGCTGCTCTCAGTCACCATCTTTGTTCCTATTATGGTGAGCAGGATAGCTTGATGATGCCCACAGGGCCCTTTGTCTGTGGAGAGGCTATATCATTCTCCAAAATGCACTCCAAACAGGAGAATCACTTCTCACCGTGTGACCCTGGGGACCCTCAGGCTTTCTGCTACTGGGGCTCAACACTGCTCTCCCACCAGAACACTGCTCAGCTCCCCATGCATGAACCACAATTTCATAGACCTCCAAGACTTTGGAATCTGCACTCTGTTGTTTATAGAAGACTGGCAGTGTTGTATTTTTCCTTGTCAAAGGTTTTGGGGAGTAGTTTTCTTGTACAGTCCTCTGTGCATGTTTTCATTTTTTTTTTTTTTTCTGTGCTTTTTCTCTCTCCTTATTCCCAACACAGTCAGGGCTCCCTCCCCTGGGGTTTGACTGCAGCCCTTTTCTCCCATGAACTCTACCCAGGTCCTACCTTCTATGAGTAGTTTTTCTGGTTTGTAGAAATGCAGCTTTGTTCTCTAAGATTTCCAATTGATTTCTTGGGTGTTCAGAATGATTCAATATTAATCTAGCTGTTGAAGTGAAGAGATGAGCTTAGGGTCACCCTGCTCCTCTGCCATCTTACCTTCCTGCAAAATTACTGTTTCTTTAAAAGGTGAGTTTTCCAGGGCACCTGGGTGGCTCGGTTGAATGTCCAACTCTTGATTTTGGCTTGGGTCATGATCCTAGGGTTGTGGGATCCAGCCCTGCATTGGGTGAGCATGCTCTCTCTCTTTAAAAAAAAAAAAAAAAAAAAAAAAAGGTTTTTCAAAAAATTTTTTTCAAATTTTGTATTCCTTGTAATGTTTTACCATGATGTCTCTTTTTTAATATCTACATGTTTAGCCAGTGCCCTGACAGAGTTCTCTTTAAATACTTGGACCCAAAAGGAAAATACAAGTGTTGTTTCCCTTTAAATTCTTTCTTCAGACAGTAGAAATCACTTCTGTCTGAGTTTAAAATGGTCACTCTCTGTGCTATTTCTTAAATGAATAACCAAACCAATCAGATTAAAATGTAAACCTAGATTTTGGAGGACAAAGCTCATCTGGAACTAACAAGCCACAGCAGGATATGGAACAGAATCTCAATTTCTAGCTTCTGCATGGCTGGGGCTTAGGGCTGATAACTACTATGCCAAGCATTTAAATTTACCAATATTTAAATGCCAAGCATTTAAATTTACCAGCCTCTTTCTTCTTCAGGGACTCCACTGATCACTTCAAATTTTCAACTAGAGTAGGTTTCCAAAATAGTGATTTTTGACAGTTTTTATCATTTCAGTATTGGTTTTGCTGGAGGGATGGATTCTTGGAGCTTCTTACTGCACCATTTACCATTTTGTGACTCTTTGTTTTCTACATTTCTGTGTCTTTATTTTTTTCTCCATTTCTGTGTTACTGGCTTCTTATGTATTAAATAGGTATTGTTGGGCACCTGGGTGGCTCATGATCTCGCAGTTCGTGAGTTCAAGCCCCATGTCAGGCTCTGTGCTGACAGCTCAGAGCCTGGAGCCTGCTTCAGATTCTGTGTCTCCCTCTCTCTGCCCCTCCCCACTCGTGCTCTGTCTCTCTCTCTCCCTCAAAATAAATAAACATAAAAAAATTTTAAGAATAGATATTGTTTATTCTACTGGTTTAACTCCTATGTATTTTTGTGTCACTTTTTACTTACTTCCTTAGTGATCACTCTGGGATTATAAGTACATTTTAACTTAAATCATTTTAGTTCACATTAGTACCAACTTAATTTCAATTGTATACAAACATATTGCTCCAGTATTGCTATGTTATCTCCCCATGCATTTGTGGTACCATTTTCATATACATTATGTCTTTATAAGGTCGTCAATTTTAAGCCCTTCAACACAATTTTGTAATTACTCTTCTATGCAGTTATGAATAGAAGATTCAACTGCATACATGTCTGACCTGTTAGAGACAGATTGTCAGTTTTTTGTTTGTTTGTTTGTTTTGATCTGGGATGATCTTAATTTCACCTTCATTTTTGAAAGATAGTTTTTATGGACTTAGAATTATTGGTTGATGGTCTTTTCTTTGATTTTGAATAAGTCATTCCATTGCTCATGGGTCTTCATGATGTCTGCTGAGAAGTCAGTGGTTAATCTAAATGTGGATCCCTTAGGAGTAATTGTTTTCTACTACATTCTTTTAATTTAATTTAATTTTAATTCCAGTATAATTAACATACAGTGTTATATTAGTTTCAGGTGTACAATATAGTCATTCAACAATTCCATGCATCACACAGTATTCTCATAATGACAAGTGCACTCCTTAATCCGCATCACCTATTTTACCCATCCCTCTGGTAACCATCAGTTTGTTCTCTATAGCTGGGAGTCTGTTTCTTGATTTGCCTCTCTCTCTTTCTCCCTTTGCTCCTTTTTGTTTGTTTCTTAAGTCCCATATATGAGTGAAATCATATAGTATTTGTCTGTCTCTGACTGACTTCTTTTGCTTAGCATTATACTCTTTAGGTCCCTCCACGTTGTTGGAAATGGCAAGATTTCGTTGTTTTTTATGGCTGAATGATATACCGATGTGTATATAAACTACATCTTCTTTATTCATTCATCTGTAGATGGACACTTGGACTGTTTCTGTAATTGAGCTGTTGTGAATAATGCTGCTATATACACAAGAGCACATGTATCCCTTTGAATTAAGGTTTTTGTATTTTGGGGGTAAATACCCAGTAAGGTGATTACTGGATCATAGGATAGTGCTATTTTTAACTTTTTGAGGAAACTCCAACCTGTTTTCCACAGTGGTACGCAAGTTTGCATTCGCACCAACAGTGCAAAGGGATTCCTTTTTCTCCATAGCCTCATCAACACATGTTTCTTGTGTTGTTGATTGTAGCCATTCTGACAGGTGTGAGGTCTCACTTTAGTTTTGATTAGCATTTCCATGATGATGAGTGATGTTTTCATGTGTCTGTTTGCCATCTGGATGTCTTCTTTGGAGAAATGTCTGTTCATTTCTTGTTCACATTTTTAATTAGATTATTATTATTATTATTTTTTTTTTTTTTACTGCTTTCAATGTATATATAAGTCTGGCTTTTGACAGTTTGACTTTGATGTGACTATGTGTGAATCTCTTTTTGTTTATTGTAATTGAAATTCATTGCTTCTTGGATAAGTAGATTACTATTTTGCTTTAAATTTGGGAACTAATTGGTCTCAAAATAGTTTTGAAATGTGCCCCTTTCTCCTTTCCTTCTGGGACTCTTTTACTGTACATCTGGTGCACTTGATGGTGTTTCAGTGGACTCTGACATTTTGGGTTTCTTTCTTCTTCTTTTTCTTTCTTTCTTCTTTCTTCTTCTCTTCTCCTCCCTTCTCCTTCTTCTCCTCCCTCCTCCTCCTTCTTCTCCCTCCTCCTCCTCCATCCTCCCCCTCTGTCCGCCCCCTCCCTTCTCCCTTCTTTTTCTCCCTTCTTCTTCTTCTCCCTTTTTCTTCTTCTCCTCCCTTCTCCCCTCTTGTCCCCTCTTCTCTTCCCTCCTCCCTCTTCTCTTTCATCCCTCAGATTAGATCCTCTCAATTGACTTATCTTCAAGCTTACTGCTATTTTTCCCTGCCAGTTCCAATTATTTGTTGGCCTTATTTAGTGGCTTTTTAATTTCAGTTATTGAACTTTCTGTCCAGAAGTTTTATTTGGTTTCTTCATTGAAAGTTTTTTATATGGTGAGATGTTATTCTCATGCTTTAAAAAAATTTTTTAAACATGTTTTTTCATTTGCTAAGCATATTTATAACAGTTATTTTAAAGTTTTTACATGTAATTCCAACATTTGAGCTCCTTGGGGACAGTATCTAGTGACTGTTTTGTTTTGTGTGGACTGTACTTTCTTACTTCTTTGCATGATTCATAATTTTTGTTAAAAACTAGTTATTTCATTTTTTGACAGTTTTAGAATTCTTCCACATTTAAATACGCATGCAGCAATGGCTCTACAACGCAAGTTGTAAAAATGGATTAATCCACAAATTCCACGTTCTGAAGAAAAATTTGCCCTTAAATAATTTTAAAAATACTGAGACCCACACATTCCCAACTTAAACCCTCATCTACACAAATTTACGTTATTTATAAATAAGTCACAGGCTAGCCCTGAATTACATTTGTCACAAATTCACTCTAGAGCAACACAGAGCAAAATACCATTGAAGCTAAGTAACATAACACAAAGTTAAATTTTAAACTTACACATGACAAAAGATACCAACGTGACATATTAAAGAAGGTAACCTAACGCAGGAAATCTATAGCAATTTTGATAAACGCCATTGGAGTGCAACACAGAGCTAAGTTGCAACATGTAAGGGTCCAAGGGTCATTTCCCTACAGCCACAGCTCTTGGTGCAGGGATTTCCTAGGTGGATGGTCAACGCAGGATGTAGGAAATGACACAGTCCCCACCCCTGAACAAGTCCAGATTCTTTCTTTGGGGTCAGGGTCTGCAAGCGCCTGTCAGCTCCAGCCTCTGGCTGCTTGCCCCTACCTTGGGAGAGAACAGCAAGCGGACAGGCTGAGGTGGGGCTGCAAGCCCCTGCTGTCTGCCATCACACCCCAAACCGGACATCTTCCCAGTCTAGGCCAACACTGCCTGAAATCCAGTGACAAGCATTTGTACCTGGACATCATGTGTTGTCCTGGCAAGTACCATGGGTCTCCCAGACCCCGAACAAGATGCTCTTTGAGTGAGGCCCCATGGTGGCCACTGGGGTGTACAGCCCAGGGTGCCTACCAGAGTTGGGATCCAGGAGCTGCCCACTGCTGCTTGGCTTCTGCCTGAAAACCCCATTTGGCGCTGAATAAACCAGGTCTCCTGGGCGCTGGACTCATTTTGAACCACTAGCCAGAACCTGCCAGCTTTGTCCATGCGAGGCCAGTGGGAGGCCACTCATCATCTGCCCCACCGGCCCCTGAATGACTGGCTGTGCCGGCCACCTCCCAAAGCATCTGTCCTGGCTCCCAACAGTGCTGTTGTGACTGTGGCAGGTCAGCTAGGCTGCAGCTCAGGGGAGGCCCTCCTTCCTCTGACAGCATTGTGGGGGAGGCGCCCGCCAGTCGAAGACGTAGGAAAGGCGCAGCTGCGTGTCCTGCTTGCACAGGTGGTCCTCTCCCATCAGGGCCTTGCGCTTTTTCAGCATGTCCTCCAGGTTCAGCTTGCGTGTCACTGGGTACAGGTCGCTACAGCCGCTGGACTTAGACTCGGTGTGGAAGCAGGGGTCGTACTCGTGCCGGACACCCATTGATGCCGGCCAGGTGCCCAGGGACACCTCCTCGCTGTGCCACGTGTGCAAGTGCTCAAGCTGCGGCACAGGTAGTGCACCAGGTCTGCTGAGAGCGCAGAGCCGCTGCTCGGCGTGTACGGCAGGTAGTAGTCACAGAGCTGTCAGATGGCTTTGTGCCAGTGGCCCTGAGGCTTGGCACTGCCGCGGCCTAAAAGGAAGCCCCAGTTGAGATGGTGACCGTCCCTGGGGTCACGTGTGCACAGCTCTGCCAGCAGCTCGCCCTGCCCCGCAAATGCGTCGGCATCCGCCTTTAGCATGAATGCAAAGGCCACATGCCCTCCAGCCAGACCAGTGTGGCCGGTACCTTGGCCATGAGGTTCTCACACACGTGGTGCAGCCGGGGGAGCAGCAGGTCACCGTGCTGTGCCTGCTCGCGTGTCAGGGCTAGCCGCTCCTCGGCGCCCAGGCTGCCTGTGCCCACTGGCAGAATGTGCCCACATGTCACCCTGGCTGCTGGGCCGTGCGGCCGCCTCCTTTGTGTGGTGCACCACACAGTGCTGTGTGGCTGCCCACGGCACACGGGCCAACGGTACCGCCAGGAAGGTGGTGGCCCATGCTGGCCCAGCGGGAGGAGGGCTGCGGCCTCTGGCAGGCTAGGGCCAAGAGCCGCACAGCAGGCCAGGTAGAGAAGTCCGGCACTGCAGAGCACCAGGCCACCCAGGCCGAACACTGTCTAGTGCCACCAGGTGTGGTATAGTAGCTTCAGGACACTCCCCCGGGACATACCAGAGGCCCTGACCCTGCGGCACAGGCAGAATCCGCTGACAGTGGAGGCTGAGGGCCAGAGCAAAAACTAGTTATTTTACATAATATAATATAGGGACTCTAGAAATCAGCCCCCCCCCCTCCCTCCCCCCCCCCCCCCCACTTCCAAAAGCTTGTTAGTTTGCTGTTTGATTACTTATCTGGATCAATACAACGCATTCCCTATTCTGTCTAGTGTGGAGCCGGAGCCGACAATATTTTTGGTCAACTTCATAGTCAACCAGTGATTGGCAGAAACTTCAAAGCAGTGCCGGGGCACCTGGGTGGCTCAGTTGGTTAAGCGTCTGACTTTGGCTCAGGTCATGATCTTGCGGTTTGTGAGTTGGAGCCCGGCATCAAGCTTTGTGCTGACAGCTCAGAGCCTGGAGCCTGCTTCGGATTCTGTGTCTCCCTCTCTCGCTGCCCTGCTTGTGCTCTTGCTCTCTCTCAAAAATAAAAATAAACATTAAAAAAAATTAAAAAAAAAAAAACTTCAAAACAATGCCTTAAAGCAATGAATCGTCCCCATTTGAAAACAGGCTCTGTGTACATGTTGCAGCATGCCCTCGGTGCTCTGGTGGTTTATAATTCTTTCTTAGCTTTCATTTCCTGCTTGTGAGAGATTAGGGTCTTTTACATTGTCTTCCTGAGCTTCCATGCCTGCTTGCATGTGTATTCTGCCCTCTAGACCTCTACGTGTAACCATTTGTGCACATCGATTCCCTGGATTTTCCGATATAATTTTCTTGGCCATCTTTCTAGCCCTTCCTAGTTTTTCTGCCTGAGGCAGCTGCAATTTGACGCAATTGCTGTTATTTATTTTTGACTAACAGCCAGATGTTTCCTCACTGTGTGAACTCTAAGTCAGTTCAAAGCTGGTGAATGGGCATTTCCAGGAAGCTTCCAGACAGGTCAAACAGTGACAGTTCTCTGGTAGTGGGCTTTTTTGGAAACTTCCCAAACAATTGTCCCTTCAGTACCTACTACACTGGGGTTTCTTTCCTTTTCCCTTTCCTTTCCTTTCCTTTCTTTCTTTTTCTCCCCTCCCCCTCCCCCTTCCCCTCCCCCTCCCCTTCTCTTTAGTTGCTCTTGCTCTTAGGCCTCTAAGTTTTAAGACTACCACTGATCTGTGGAGGCGACTAGGAAAGAGCATCCTCAGAGCTCACAGTTCTTACTGACATTCACTTGTTGTTCTTGAAGAAATGCTCTCCAGCTTCTTGAAGCCTTGGGTGATTTCCAAAGTTTAGAAAAAGTTGACGTTGACCATTTGCCACTGTTCTCTCCCCCCACCCCCCCCACCCCCGCCCCACCACACCCCTCTCAGAGTGGATATTCAGAAGTCCTTACTTGACTGTTCCTAAAGTGTTCTCCAAGACACTTTTGAGGAACAAGTTTAGAGTTTGAAAAAGTGGGCTGAAAATACACAGATTCTTGCCAGGTGAGCCAATTATTTAAAATAAATCTCTTTCTCAGGAATCTAGTTTTGGAAGCAGGAGGTGAGAAAATGAGTCTTACTTACAAAAACCTATGAAAATAATGCATCTGGTCTATGTATTTTTAACATGGGTTCTAAAAAATTCAATGAAAAAGAAGAGTTTTTTTAAATCAAATAGTGCTGAAACAACTGAATAACAAAATAGAAACAAACTGCCACTTAATCTAATACTTCACACAAAATATTTACTTTATATAGACATCCATTTAAGAATGCTAAAACTATAAAATTTATAAAAGTATGAGTAATTTTAGCAGTATTGGGGGTAGACATAGTTTTATATATATGTAACATAAAAGGCTTGAGTTATTACAATGGATAAGTTAGAGTTATCATAATTAAAATTTTCTGCTTCAGACACTCTGATGATTGATTTCCTGTGTCCAGCTTGGCTAAGCTATGGTACCCAGTTGTTTGGTCAAACACTAATCCAGATGTTGCTGTGAAGGTACTGTTTTAGATGTGATTAACTTAAAAAAATTTTTTTTAATGTTTTTGTTTATTTTTGAGAGAGAGAGAGAGAGAGAGAGAGAGAGAGAGAGAGCGAGCGAGGGAGGGGCAGAGAGTGATGCAGGGCTCAAACTCATGAACCATGAGATCATGACCTGAGCCAAAGTTGGATGCTCAACTGACTGAGCCACCCAGGCGCCCCTAGAAGTGATTAACTTTTGTAATCAGTTGGCTCTCAGTAAAGCAGATTATCCTCCATAATGTGGGTTAGCCACATCCAATCAGTTGAAGGTCTTATGAACAAAAACTGAAGTTTCTCAAGAAGAATGAATTCTACTTCAAGAACATAACAATTCTGAGTGAATTTTCAGTCTTTTGCTCTGCAATGGAGATTTTGGACTCAATACTGCAACATCAAATTCTACCTTAATTTCCTATTTGCTGGCCTCCCCTATAGATTTCCAACTTGCCAGCCCATACAATCATGTGAGACAATTTTTTCAACGTTTATTTTATTTTTGGGACAGAGAGAGAGAGCATGAACGGGGGAGGGGCAGAGAGAGAGGGAGACACAGAATCGGAAACAGGCTCCAGGCTCTGAGCCATCAGCCCAGAGCCCGATGCGGGGCTGGAACTCACGGACCGCGAGATCGTGACCTGGCTGATGTCGGGCGCTTAACCGACTGCACCACCCAGGCGCCCCATGTGAGACAATTTTTTAAAAACTCTTTAACACCTCCCACCCCACACACACATAGGTGTCTCTGGGGAGCCCTATGCACACCCTAAGAAAATGAAAAGGAAAACTAGAGAGTGGGGAAAAACATTTTAAATATATATCTTACAAAGGGTTTATATCCAAAATATATAAAGTACTCTTTTAATCCAGTAATATAAAGATCCATAAAGAAGGGGAACAGATTTAAACAAATACTTTGTAACATGAGATCAAGAAATGGTCAATGAGCATATCAAATTGTAATGAACATTATTTGTCATTAGAGAAGTGCATATTGAAATATCAATATAATTATACTACACACCAACTAGAATTACTAAAATTATATAACTGACAATTATAAATATTGCTAAATATGGAGCACTTAGAATTTTCACATGTTTCTGGTTAATGTAAAATTTATAACCACTCAAATATTTTTGATGGTTTTTTATAAACTCAAATTTACAATTATGATATGAGTCCACTGGATATTTACCCACGGTAAATGAAAACTTTTGTCCACAGAAGACTTATATTGGTATTTCATAGCAGCTGTATTAATAATAATTATAAACTGGTAATAATGTGAATGTCTGTCAACAGGTAAATGAATGAACACATTGTGATATATCTGCACAATGGAATGCTAATCAGTAAAAGGAAACAAATTTCTGATATATGTAAATATATAGATGAAGTTCTAAACGTGTTTAGACACAAAAGAGAACGTATGTTAATACAGTTCCACTCATATGAAATTTTAGAAAAGGGAAAAAGCAAATTGTAATTTGTAACTATAGAAGACAAATCCATTTGGGACTTGGGTGTTAGGGGATTGACTGCAAAAAGAATTTTGAGGAATGATGGAATACCTTTACTTCCTAATTCTGGTAGTGTTTACATTGCTGTACATAGTTTTCAAAACTCATGTAATTCTACACTTATAATGAACACATTTACATGAACTATATTTCAATAAGGTTTATACTAAAAATCATAAATCTGTTAAAAGGCATCGAAGATTTGCATGGGTACTGGCAAATTTGGAAGCCAAACTTTAAAAAGAAGGAATGCTCAAAGAAGCGAGCCTGTCATCGATGCTGCTTTTTGCTCAAATTATAGGAATTGCCAATTCTTAAAGGAGGTGCTGACGTGGTACAAAACCAAGCATCACTTTCTGTGGAGTCAATAGTAGTACACTGACAAATACTGCAGTAATTGGCCCTAGGAAGGAGGTGAGACCTTGGGCAATAACCCACTTTCAGTCAGGACTCTGAAAGGCGTGAGGCTGAGGTACATGTAGAATTTCCATTGTACAGTTTGAAGCCAAGCTTCAGATCATATATTCCTTAGATGAGTCCGCCTACTGTGGGATCTCCAGCTCCTTTAGCCTATCTTCCTAACAGAAGCATGAGCAAATCCGATCTGGAGAAAGGTCCCATCACCCAGAGTCTCTAATTATATCTACAGTTTTTCACATTAAATATCACAGTACGGGGTGCCTGGGTGCTCAGTCAGTTAAGTGTCTGACTCCAGCTCAGGTCATGATCTCACGGCTCATGAGTTCGAGCCCTGTGACGGGCTTTGTGCTGACAGCTCAGAGCCTGGAGCCTGCTTCAGATTCTGGGTCTCCCTCTCTCTCTGTCCCCATCCCCCACTTGTACTCTCTGTCTCTCAAAAACATTTAAAAAAAGTGAAAGACCACATTAATATATCTGACAACCAGATGAGTATATGGGCAGGTGAAGGGGGATGACAAAATACCAAGAACTTACTTTAGATAACCAAGAAAGCCAAATAATGGACTTCACAGACAGGGACTTTAAAACCATACAGATGGATTTGTTAGGCCAAAACACATAATAGCTGAAAATAATATTCACTTAATAGATAAGATGTAAAGGAAAAGAGAGTAAAAAATTTGTCAAAAGAAAATATTACAGTGATGCCATAGAGAAGCAAAAAGATGGATGTCAGAAGAAGGACCATAAGAGATACGTGGACTACATAGTGAAAAAGACTGATTGGAGTGAAAAAACAGGGTGGAGAGAGAATGGGGCTGAACAGTACTTAAAGAGATGTGGCTGAAGGATGTTAGAAGATTGAAGAAAGATCAACCTGCAAATTAAAAAAAAAAGTTTTATAAACATAAATTTATGAAGGTAAATTAAAACATACGTAAGTATATTACAGCAAAGCTAGTAAAATTAATGACAAGGAGAAAGTCTTCAAAACATCCAAAGAGAAGAAACATTGTGTTTAAAGGGGGAACATGGGACACCACCTGGGTGACTCAGTCGGTTAAGTGTCTGACTCTTTATTTCAGCTCAGGTCATGATCTTTCAGTTAGTGAGATCGAGCACCATATAGGGCTCTGTGCTGAATGTGGAGCCTGCTTGGAATTCTCTTTCTCCCTCTCTCTCTGCCCCTCCCTGACTCGCATGCACACGTGTCTCTTCCTTTCTCTCTCTCTCTCAAAATAAATAAACATTAAAAAGGGGGGGAACATAACATTTACAAGTGACTTGCTAACAGAGATGATGGAAATCAGAATGCAATGGAATAATGTATTCAAAGAACTAAAAGAAAATAATTGCCAACTTAAACCTGTGTATCAAGTCAATCTATCAAGATTAAGTAAAAATAGCAACATTTTTGGACCTATAAGGCCAAGAAATTTCACCATTAGGTCTTCACTAAAGAAAATATTAAAGGGGGTTGTTTGTGCAAAGTTAAGATTCCAGAGGCAGTATTAGAAATTAAAGAATAAACAGGAACAGAATGGATATATAAATGGGTAAGTCTAAATTACTGTTGATTGTACAAAATCATCATCATCATTATCAATCACACCTGCCTAGGCCTAAAATATATGCAGAAGCAAAATATATGAAAAAATACACAAATCAAAATAAATGGAATAAAAATTTTTGAATTTCCCTTAATTGCTCAGGAAATGTACAGATTTTGGTTTAAAATTTTTTTTAATGTT